ATACTGTCAACCGATAGTCCGAGGCACGCGATAATGGATTACCCACGATAATGTTCATTTACTACTCACACATAGACATAGCCCAAATGTTCATGTTATGTGAATTGCCTAAATATTACTCCTTAAAACATGATACGCTGGAGCCCCCTTAACAAATTGTAACGTAAATTGAAGGGTCCAATGCAACAACCAGTCAACTCCATTTTTGAGCGAAATCGTTTTATTCATTGATATGATAAAGAATAAAATTATTCACAAATGGGTGCAACAAACGTACTTCTCCGTTAATTATTAAATTAAATATGAGTAAAAACGGAGTTGTCTGATTGTGAATAGTGAATTTAAGCGCAACAAATAGATAACTCCGGAGTTGTCTGGTTGTTACATTTTGTTTACAAGTTTCTCATCATTTTGTTACATTCTTTACATACTACACAAGGATATTCTAACTAAATAAACTTAGTATTTTTCAATCCCTATTTTTAATTGATTTTTGAACTTATAAACTTTCAAAAAACATGATATATTTTGGACAACAACCAGACAACTCCTAGTAGTCCTTAACTTACAATAATTATTGAGCCTAATGGAACTTGCATAAAGGTTATTGTCATATTTCATATGATACAACAAGTAATTTATAAATAAATAGTATAAACAAAATTATTCTATAAAATTAATTTATTCATTAAAACAGTTTATATGCCCTCCTGAAAAATTAATGAAAATGGAGTTGACTGGTTGTTGCATTGGACCCTTCAATTGAGCAAACAATATTTATATAAGTAACTCTTTGTTTAAATTTACTATACAAACTGCTATATTATGTATAAGTATTAAACAAATTAATTAATTACAGTTTAACAAACTATGTACAAATCAATCAATAGATTTACTTATTTGGTATGTGACCTATTATTTGTCACCATATTTTTATTTTAAAAATAAATTTTAATTATATAATTATATTAATATAATAAAACAGTAAAGTTAACATTTTTATGAGCGTTTGATATTCACTCGATTTCTCATATAACGATTTTCTAATTTTGTTGTAATTAAAAAACGAAAGACTGTAGATACATAAAAATTTCACTGAATGTTTATTTTTTCAATTCTTATAGGTACTTGATAAAATTTTCAAAATAATTTGACTTTTTTGGGCTGTATAAGGACATTTTCAGTTTTCAATTTTTTTAGTTTTTTTTTTATAAATATCAATAAAATTTTATTTGTTGGGTTAAAAAATATAAAAATTTAATACAAGGCTCCTGATATATTGTTACAACATCAGTTGAAAAATATTAAAAATACATATGCACAATTTTTTTTTATAAGCATTTAAAGTTCAAATTTGAAAGAATGTATCACATTTAAAATTTAATAATAATTTTGTAGTTAAAAATTATAAAATGTTTAACTTTTATCGCTAATGATTGACAATTTAAAACTAGATTCCAATTAAATAGGTTATATATAAATTACTTTGTTCCCAATAATATCATCAAATATAGGTACTTAATAATATCGTAGGCTAACTAACCGTTTTCGCTCAGAATCGTTTTTCTATAATCGTTTATTATATCATTGAACTCAAATTTAATACCATCCATTAAACAGCGACCCACTTGTAACCTAGTGTACAGTAGAGCAAATTTTAGATTCTGAGTGGAACGATGAATGTATTGATTTTACAATAATGTATGTTTTTTTTAAATTTTTTTATCTGTACAGCAGAGCGACTTTTTATTTTTATTTTTGTGTCTGTCATCACCTTTTAGGACAGTAAAAGTGCTTGGATTTTCTTCAGCAGTATCATTTTTGATAGGAAAGTGAATTTAGTTGGTACTTTGGGGGTTAAAAAGTAAAAATTTCTCAGTAGTTTACAAAAGCGCCGTGAAAAACAAAAGAAAAATTAAGAAAAAATGGGAATTTGTACGCAAAATCTGTTTTTGAAAAATTCCAATTTTTGGTTTTTGGTGCAACTCTTAAACAAATGACCGTAGGTTTATGAAATGTTGACTGAATGTTTATATTAGTATTTTCTATATACCATAATAACATTTTTCAAATATTTTGACTCTTTTTGAGCTGTTTACGTACATGGTCGGTTTTCAATGTTCTTATTGTTTTTTCTATAAATATCAATAAAATTGTATTTGTTTTTAAAAAAAGAGTGAAAATTAATGTAAGGCTCCTGATATAATGTTACAATAGCAGTTGAAAAATATTAAAAATATTTAGCCACAATTTTTTTTTTATAAGCATTTTAAGTTCGAATTTTGACAAAATATATCAAATTTAAAATTTAATAATTATTTTTAGTTAAAAATGTATACCTAAAATGTTCAACTTTTATAGTTAACGATTAAAAATTTAAAAAAAGGTTCCAATTAAATAGGGTATATATAAATTACTTTGTTCCCAATAATATCATCAAATATAGGTACTTAGTAATATCATAGGCTGACTGACCGTTTTCGCTCAGAAACGTTTTTCTTATATAAATATATAATGATATTATATCATTGAATTCAAATTTAACACCATCCATTACAGTGACCCACGTATAACCTACTGTACAGCAGAGTGACATCCACTTGCCTACCTTTTTTATATTATATACCCCTGACTACAAAGTATAAAAATAGTTATAGAACTAATCTTTTTTTCAAGAAGGGCTTGTTACCAAACTTTCATAATCTTTAATGGGAAATGGATATTAGATTTCAACAGTAGCATCTTCAAACCATATATAATTATATTATATAAAATTAAATGTTTTTTTTTGTGTGAAAAAAAAATAGACAATACATATCAAAAAATGAAAAAATGCGTTAACAGGCGTTGCTGCTAAGTATGGAATATTATCGTCTACAAATAACCCACATTTTTGTATTGGTTTTAAATGATCTATTTCAATGTTTTTATTGCCATATCTTCCTATTCTATACCTTAGTCAATGGCATTAGTTTTAGTATTATTAGTATTATATAAAATTCCAAACACTGTGTTATTACACGAAGTGCTCGGACGCATTTTACAAATTTTACAAAAATTAGTAGTTTTAAGTTGGAACTTGGAGTAGGCAGATGGCAAATCGCAGTTATTATTCTCACTAAAATTGTTTATGAACATAAAATATTATATAGGTATTTTATTTTATTTTTGTAAATACTAAATCTATTTTTTTTAAACTTACAAATTTTTACTCCAATCATATATATTGTACTGCAGGTGCAAAAGTTGAAGTAGAAGGTGAATTGCAGTTATTATGCTCCCTACAATTGTTTATGAACATAAATTATATACCCACTCAATTCCATCTGTAATTTTATATGGTTTTTTATATTCAATTTATATGTACCATTTACCTGGTTGTGGATCAGATTTTCTACATTTTTACGATTTTTTTGAGTGTTTCTTTTTTTTCATCATTCCCCATGTAGTTCGATAATTCAAGTAAAGCTTATTAAAGAAATTTTCTTCAAAGCTACCAACAACAAAAGTTTTAGAGAAGAACATTTGTGACAATCGTAAGAAGCCCGATTTTTTTATATTTTTATTAATTAGTTAAATAATTAATTGATAAAAAATAAAATTGTTAATTTACCATGAGATATTGGACGATTGGAATACGATATAAAAAGTCAGATTTCTCACGATTGTTAAAAAAAATTCTCCTCTAAAATTTTTATAATAGGTAGTTTTGCTGTAAACCGCTTCAATAAGCTGTATTACTTGAAGAACAAAAGTATAGTTTTTATTTGTATAAAATTCGGACACGAAGAGGGCGCACTATTGAACAAAATATGGCATAAAAACTAAAAATTCCTAATTCCAGTAATACAGTTTATTGAAGCGTTTTACAGTATAAACACCTATAACCTATTACGAAAATTGCAGAGGAGAATTTTTGTTTTACAAAACTTTACAAACGACTTATAAACGATTGAGCAGAAAAAAGTTTGGAACTTTGTTACTTTACCGGACACCCTTTTTTTTACAATTCTTTTTTTTAGACTTATGTAGTTAACTATACTGAGAACGATGGTGAAGTCAGAATTTTGCGGTCGGACTTAGTTTCGAAGTTATGGCTTAATGAAGTTCGCTATTTTACGATTTTTGGGCATTCGTGAGTCACTAGTTTATTGCACCTATTATGAATATTGATTTTTTTTTTTTTTGAAACCTATCTAATTCAACGAGTTAAGAACGACGGTGGCACGGTGCAATCAAAATTAGATAGCCAGACTTCATTTTGAAGTTATATGCTAAGGCAGTTTCGAATTCTTTGTTTTTACGCATACTCTCAAAGTCTCAACGCTCTAGAAGCTCCCTACGCACGCCGGCTATGTATAATATACCTAGAATCTAGATACCTACTTGATATTTTAATTCAATTAACTCACTGACTCCTAGCTCATGCCCAGGACCTGATTCAATTCCAAGTATATTTTTCCAAAACTGAACTTATGTTTTTTCTACGCCCTTATTATATCTATTTAACCTGTCGATATCTACTGGTGCATGGAAAATTAGTGTTAATTGCAATGTACCAAAATCATCATCAGAACTGTTTAATATCTCCAATTGCCGACCAATCTTATAACCTTCTATAATAGGTACCCAAAGTATTCGAATCTATTTTTGCAGCAAAAATCATACCAGTTTTAGCAAATGTAATCGTTGACGATCAGCATGGTTTCCGGCTTAATGAAAGTACCATTAGTAATTATACTAAAATTTGGTCATATAAAGGGTGTAACAGGAATACCGAAGACCTAACAAAAAATAAAAAATAAATTATGTTACTTAAACGTATGACAAAAATTATGAAAATAATATTGCATCATGTATAAATATATTATAAATTTATTCGTCAATTAACTCGAATATAACTTAACATTTAATTTTTATTTTTTTTAAGAACAACAAATTACATCAAAACTTATTTTTAAATTGTTTTTGTTAATCTTAAGTTGTCCGATTTAATGCATTCAATTGTTTTCTTCCATGTCCAATTTTTCATTCTTAATTTTCATTTCTTTCTTTGATTTCTTGTCTTTTTTTACTTTTATTGCATCCGTTATTGGAGACGCATCATCGAGTGATGTACTCTGTCGTTTTCTCTGAACATATCAAGAATACAATACGTTAGCTAGGTATAATGAAATCATTATAATATCATCATTATGTATTCAATCATGTATCCACAAAGTTGTGTAAAATAAATATTTCACATGCAAATCAGATATGCTTAGTAGCAAGTTCAGAATGAAAAAAATATCATTCAATTATCCAAACAAAATAATATCTAAAGTGAAATACTATATAATGCACATTTGAGGATAAGTATTTATTATCTATTATAATATGCAAAGCAAAAATGTTTTCTACTTTCAATAGTATTATTTTAACTAAAACCATTACAAATAATTATATCATGTTCAACCATTCATTGGATTTATGCATAATTCGTGTTTAATGATATTTTAATTTATAACCACTAGATATAATAAAATAAGACCCAATTAAATGTTTAATTGACTTTGTCTGTTTTCAAATAATTATTTAATAATACTGTATTAGTTACTAGTTTGAATATCTCTAGTATGTGATAATTTTTGTTTAGTAATCTGCTATAATTGGATTACAGTTTTAACTATTTTTATAATTTTATTTTATTTTAAAATAGCCTTAATTACAATAAGATAAGCAGGTAATGTAATCATTAACGTATTTAAATAAAGGTAATCATTATTTTGATGAAAAATATTATTTTACTTTTATTCTGTAACTAGACTCGTACAAAGTGTGTGCGATATCCGTGTATGTCTGGTTATAAAGTGCTTCAATAAATTATAATTTTTAAATATGGTTAACGCTGAAAAAGTTGAGTTGGTTTTAATTTATGGCGAATGTCAACGTAATGAACACCTGACTGCTTTAACGTATGCCGAACGATACCCAGAAAGATACTATCCATCTTCTAATTATGTTTTACGAATTTTACAAGGGTTAAATCAGGAAGGAAGATTTCCTGGCACACAAATAAACCAACAAAGGCGTAGAGCAAATATTTTTGATGACGATAAAGAATTACAGGCACTAGCATATATAAGGGCTTATCCACGTTTGTCAATTAGGCATGTTGCAAGAGAAGTGGAGTTTCATATGGTTACGTCCAAAAAATTCTAAAAAAACACAAAATGCACTCATATAAAATCGATTTGGTCCAACATTTGAGTGCAAGAGATTCTATTCGTAGGTTGGAATTTATAGCTTGGTTCAATACTAAATTGTATGATAACCCTTTAATTGTCAATCAAATTCTTTGGAGTGATGAATCAAAATTCACTAACAATGGAATTATTAATAAACAAAATCATCGATACTGGGATGACACAAACCCACACTGGTCATGTGAAACTAATTTCCAAACGGTCTGGGGAATTAATGTATGGTGTGGGTTGGTTGGTGAATAGGACTGTTCTTTTATGATGGTACGCTTAATGGCAGACGATATCTTAATTTTTTAACCAATGAACTTCCAAGACTGTTGGATGATGTTTCATTAGACACACGAGAACGTATGTTTTTCCAACAAGATGGAACACCAGTCCACAATTCAATTATTGTTGGACAACATTTAAATAAAATATTTCCGAATCGCTGGATTGGTACTAATGGGGTTGTTCCTTGGCTTGCACGATCCCCAGATTTAACGCCATTGGATTTTTTTTATGGGGATATTTGAAGACTGCGGTTTATGCAGATCCACCTGTCAATCTTCAAGACTTAAAACACAAAATACAAACAGCATGTGATATTTTAAGTGAGGACCAAATCAAGGCGGACTTCAACGGAATTTTTGAGACGACTGGAATCATGTTTAGAACATGATGGAGAAAACTTCGAACAATTCATTTGATAAATGTATTTAATAGATTTTATTTTTTATTATAATATTATTATTACTATTATCATTATAAGTTATAACTATTTTGTTGTACATTTAATTTATACAGTTGACAAAATATCATACACTAAAAATAATGTTTAATTATTTCACACTTATTTTATTATTTCCAGTGGTTATAAAATATGAAAATATCAATAAACAAAAATTATGCATAAATCCAATTTTTGACTTACTCTAACTTGGTCAGTTTTTAAAATAGAAAAAAACTTTTTATACAATAAATGTTTAAAAAAAAAATACTCTATACGAATCTGCAGAAAAAAACTGGGGTTGCCATTTAAAAAAAAGTAAGTTGTATTGCGCATGCGCGTACCAAGTGTGCTAAAAATTTGAAACTGGTCTAAAAATATGTATTTAAGTGCTCCTTATCACCTCTCAAAACCCCCATTTCAATACAAACACACCCATCTGAGATATTCAGTGGTACCTCTTAGAGTCATCACACTGTATATATTAATTATAATTACTTTTCTACTTTTTTCACTTTCATCTTCAGTCTTCAGTTTTTCAATTCTATAACACAGAAAATACAACACATTTAATAAATACACAAAAAAACCAACATGTTTATAGCTTACGTCTCCTTGTACAATGTTTGATTCCAATTGTCTGGGGTATTCTCATTTGGTTTACCATACTTATCTAATAAGCCATCTTTTATCATGCTTTTTTTAGTACTAGCCTAAAAAGGATAAAAAATTTAATAGGTAATGGTAAATTATTGTATATAAAATATTATACATTATAAAAACATTTATTTTTTGCAAGGGTCTCATTATTGAAAATAGCTTTTTACACATTTTAAATCTATTATGATAATTATTCAGTTGAATAGCAGTAGTTGTAAGTTCTTATATCATGGGTGTTATTGAACGATGCACCACATAATAATATTTGATGACAAAGTTAAGGAATACTATTTTAAGTTGAGGAGTAAAGAATTTTCTTACGACAATTCTACCCAAAAATATTTATGAGTTTTACACAATTTGACATAAAAAACTTAAACAATACCAATCAATGTAAAATCATTAAATAGAAGTGGCAGATAATAATGCTTCAAAACTTTATTATTGTTCTTTAAGAAATGTATAGGCTTGAAAATTGGGACAACTGTAATTTATGAAACCCTAACATATCATGTAATATATAAGTAAGATAGAAGATGATTAACTGTGGTTTCCTGTTTGTGTACAACATATCACTTCACACAACACTCAAACATCAATGAATCAAATAGTTTGTGTGATTATTATAATACCAATAATATTAATATTTTACCATTGGTCCCAGTCCCCATTTACGAGGATAGGTGTCTCGATCCATTAATACTCTTTTGATTTTGGCAAGAATACCATGATCACAACTTGAAATTGTAGCTGTTGTCATCAATGCAACACCTATTTAGTAGCAACAAAAGATAATAAATAAATATTTTTTAAATTAGACTTATAAGACTCAATAAAAAAAATGTGCAATTTAAAATTAACTGTTAAACATTTGTCAATAATAAATTACGTATTTTATATTAATTTATAAGTACAAGTTTAGTTTACAAGTAAATATATTTATATAAGTATTTAAAAGAATCAAGTTATAATTTATTTACACAATATTTTTTTTTTTAATAACCAACTTAAATAATATTTAATGAAACTACTCAATTACCTAAAGCCACAGCTTCTCCTTTAGAGGAAACAATGACAATTTCCATATTTAGTTCAATACCATCATCATACCGTAATAATCCAGGCAACATAATTTTAGCTCCATAACAAATTGCATTTATCTACAATGAGTTTAAATTAAATTATGAAAACATAATTGAATATTTGTGATTTGTTTAGTACTTACGGCACTATCTTTAATAAATACACGTTTGTAATTTGTTAGTATGCCTTCAAGGGGTCTAACCACTCTTCTTAAATAAGATTCGTCTTTATTGTTCTCAAACATCCACTGTGCATCCAAAACATCATGTAATGTTGCAAGCCCTTCTTCTTCACTTGTAATACCTAAGGAAACACAATAAATGAAATTGAACTTACTGAAATAAAAATGTCTGATTATTTAATTTAAAATTTACCAGAACGGTTTCTTCTAAGTTCTATCATTTGGCCTCCAGTTCCCAGCATTAGACCCATATGAACACATAGTGTTCTTACATAAGTACCAGCTTCACATTTAATCCAAAATACTCCTATATTTGCATTCATGTCATAATCCAATAATTTATTTTCATATATAGTACGAATACGCAATTGACGTTTTACAGCTGTAATTAAAGGGGGGCGTTGGAAAAGAGCTCCGCGCAAAGATTCCAGTGTTTTATTAATCTAAATTACACACAATAATGTAATTTACTCATTTTTCAGAAATAATAATATAATAATAATACCAACCTGAAGAATGCTTTCAACTGGACTATGAAGTTTAAATACAGAAATATATTCTTTTCCACTAGATTGTTGTGATTTAACAAGTCGTGTTGCTCTTTCAATACACACAACCAACACACCTGTAGAATGACAAGAAAAATTGTAAATAAATTGTTATAATTTTAATACAAAATAAATACTTGAAAAAGTTCTAATTATTTAGAGTTAAGATGGTGTTTGGATAAACAGAATTAAAAAATTGTTTAAAAATTGTTAAACTTTTGTTAAATGTTATTAATTATTTCTCTTGTACTTATGAAACATTACAATTTTAAAGAATAAAAACATTTTGTAAATATAATTATTATTCTGTTACTTGCATTTTTAAATTATGTTATTATTTAGAGCATTCTATTAAAATGTTATAATATATATTTTTATCCATTAAGGCATGAACTTGATCCATCAACCTTATCTTATCTAACACACTCTACGTGCTTCTCTCTTAATGCGGATTTTGTAATGTATTTGTATCAAATATCAAACATGCATTTAAACTGGCTGCGACTCGCACACTATGTGGTAAATTATTTAGAATTATTTATGTACTCTAAAAATATATCAGCAGATATTTGTATGCATTTGTATTATTTCAGAAACATTATACTAGAAAAGACTTCATCAATGCAGATGTAACAGAAACACAACAAAAAGAATAAATACTGATTACTTATTTGTAACTAAACCATACTCCGTTTATCATAAGAGTTCCTACAGCTAACACTTAATTATTATTCATTGTTAATTTTTAACCGATGTAGCACATGCATATATATTTATATATATATGCATACATACATTTAAATTGATTAATAGTAAGTTTCATACACAAATTATTATAATTTCAAAAACATAAATCTAATATGACCCAGGTTTGTAAGAGACTTTCAATTTTGTTGTATGTATAATATTTTTGATTTCTACGTATTGCAGTCGACGAACGAATCTATTTAATTTTTTTAAACATCATTAATTAAACTGTACTTAATAAGTACTTAGGAACAGTAATAATGTTATGGTAGGTAGGCCACACCTACAGGTGTCTATATAAGTAATTTAAAGCATTTAATTAGCTTTATGGAAAGTTTTAATTTCATTTGGTGTGCACAAGTCGTTCGCAACCAGAAACCTATATACCTGGGAAGTATGGTTACCTTTAAATCGACTACTTAACCTTTTTATTCAATTGACATTCGGCTTTAACATTTTCTCCTACAATAATACAATATCAGACTATCGACGTTAGGAGGTATTCCCAGTAAAAGCACAAATTTGTACCGGTTGAGGACACACAATTACCGTGTTCGTTATGCATTTATCCTTTTTGCAATCACAAAAGAACAGGGTATGTGACGGGTCGTGCATCAAATCTGCCATACACACATGCCCTATAACTCATAGATTTACATAGAGCGATGATTGATGGCTAGACATTTGATTACAATTATTCGCAATTTCTAATTTCTTATACAGTCAACAAAACACAACCAGGCATACAGAGGGGCACGGTATTTCACCAGACGAGGAGAGACCGCTAGACACTCCAAGTCACAGTTTTCGGTACGGTTTAATTTCTTTTCGAATTTCCCGTGAAACGATTTTCAGTCGACCACCTCGAAGGCGACGGAGGCGGCGTCCACAACACCCGGAATCGAGGCACACGGGCAGCTAGTTATGTTATAAAATAACATAATAAAATAGTTAAATAAATATAAAATAGTATAAAATAGTTTCTATAAAAAATATCAAAAAAAATGTTCATTAAATGATGTAATAGGTGAAGCTAATAACCAAAAGACTTTAAAAGACAATGAAACTATAGAAATAATGTTAAATGTGATGATCAAAAGATTGTGAAATAAGTTTTAATAAATACCATGATAAAGTAAGATGGTATGACATGTATTTGATGAATTAAACACGGTTATTAATTGGTCACTAAAAAGTATATTATTTATAAATGTTACCGTCAATGTCGTAAATTCAGGTAATGATGATATTGACTAGCCAATTAATATAATGCCTTGGTAACTTGGTCATTATCTATAATCAACATATATTTGTAACATTGACTTGATAAATCAGACGATGTTATAATTTGATAGATTCACTAGTTATTATAACACATCCTATCTTCTTGTAGTCAATGTTATCTTTTATCATTTTAACTTTAAAAACCCACGTTAAGATTAATTATCTGTTTTATAACGAATAATAATAGGTATCTTTTATAGTATTAATACTCACGGCAACTAACCTATAACATAAGTATTGTTACAGTCTACGTTGTACTTTTGTATAATATAGTTTATAGTTTCGTATAGTTTTTCGTTTCGAAGTGTTGAATTGTTTTATTAAAAAAATGAATTCAAATGAAATGCGTCAAAAATTTTACAACACATTATCTGATTTATTGAAAAATAAACGTGAAGATAATATATCATTTTTAAACAAAGAGGAATATATGTTTCTTATATATTTTTTTCATTGTTTTTTCTTAAATAGTAAATATAATATATTATATCTAAAATTATCAATGGCTACATAGTTTTAGTCAATAATGACAATGACTGCTCAATCATAGAAATTATGTATTAATATTAAATTTGTTCTATTATTGTCTATCTTAGTTAGGTATTCTCTAAAATGACTAGCCAATAATATCAATGCCTATGTAAAACAGTCAGTGTTAATATAGACTAGTCATTTTTAACAATACCTAATTATCATCATTGGCGGTAACATAAATAAATAATAATGTATAGAAACAAATGCTACGATATATCATAATGGTGCAGTGTATCACATAAATGTCATAATACCATGATACTTTATCAATTTACACAATTTAATTATTTATTTAACAGTTGGATTATAATGTAAATGGAGAGAAAACTAAAAGGTTTTTAAATAAAAAATTGATTAGATACCTGAAGTTTTTGGATCTAATGTTCCAGAATGACCAGTTTTCTCAACTTTTAACATTCGCTTAATCCAAGCAACTACTTCATGAGAACTTGGATTGGATGGTTTATCCAAGTTAATATAACCAGCTTTAACGTATTCTTTAATTTCTCTTTGCAGGGGATTTGATCCAAAAGGCAACGGAGTGTAATGATTTGTACGGACATTCATATTATCAAAATGCTGCAAAAAAAGTTATATTATTAAAAAGTGATTGTTCAAATAATACTCGTGAATGGTTTATTGCATAAAACCAAAACTTTCCTGTCCGTAAACTTATAGCTATTCTTCTACATAAAATCAACAGTAACTTATGCTATTGTACCACCTCCTCCCACCAAAAAAATGGAAAATATCATGAATCAAAAAGGTTCATCCTCGTTAGTTGTCTTAATATACAGGTATAAAGTTTTTAATTTAAATCCAACAAACTAATCAACTAAAGAAATTTTAGTTTAAAATATTTACTGTCAAATACATGTGAAATATTTAAAACTAAGATTATAACATTTGAATATTACCAACTTCATATGAAAAACATGAAGCAAAAATTTGATAAAATAGAAGTTCCAAATTAAAAAATTGAAATCTGAATTATATGGTGTATAGGAATTGCTAATACAAACATTCAGTGAAATTTTCATGTATCTACAGTTATTCGGTTTTGAATTACAACAAAATAAAGAAATCGCTACATGAGGAATCAAGTGAATAATATGCAATATTGTAAAAATTTAATTTGACTTTCTTACAGATATTTTTTTTTTGATAAAGGTAGATGTAAAACATTTTAATATTCATTAAATATTACGTAATTAGGGCTAATATTTACCTTCAAAAGCAGTGGCCATTTTGAAGAATCAATCGTAGCAGTTTTTTCAGAAGGTTTTATAAAGAAGGGGATTTCAGCCTGGAGTTCGCCCAAGGATTTTTCATATGCTAAGCCTTTAGATTTTCTATTTTGCTTTTTTAAAGCAGCTGGTAGAACACCTAAAAAAAAAAAAAATATAAAAGTTTTGCTTTAATTTAGGTAATGAGAAATAAATTATTTATTTAATCATCAAACTAAAAACATGGTCAATATTGCAAGTGTAAATTAAAAATAATATTATATACCTATTTAAAAAAAATTATCATTGGTGTTGTAAGTTTGTGAATGACCTTAAATCAGCTGTGATTTCCCAAAAATGCAGAGCAAAGATTTCAAAAATATGTGGTAAATCACAGATTAACTTTAAAAAAAAAGCAGCACCTTTAAAATTTAAAAACCAATTTGCGCTTATGCAACACACGCAAACTTTTAATTTCAATAATAACATATTATTGTTTTATTACAATGATAAAAATTAATATCAATAATCGAAAAATTTTTTTATAATATTAATTTTAGGTATATCAGTATGTCCATGGAATATAAATAATAAGTAGGTATATAAGTAGGTATATAATATATATACGACCCGACACGGGTAAAGTGCCCCTCCTGTTGCGCCGTGATACCACACAAAAAAAAAAAAAAAAAAGGTATATAATGTATATATAACATAGATAGTAGATAAGTTTAAACACTATAAACTATCTTTTAATAGTAAAATAACATTAATCTTCGGGGAACGGAGTGGCCGAGCGGGCTAAGACGTCAGCTAGCTCGATTCTTCGGTCATGTTAGGCATAATTCTTTGGGCAAGTCACGGTGCGTGCCCAGAAATCAAGTGCCGCTATCCCCCATCCGGGCATGGTAAATACCTACGGGTGCCCAATCAAAAATTCTGCCCATCCCAACACACATGTGTTCCCTACCGACATAAAGAAACCTACAAAACCAAAACAACTAATGGCCATAAATGCCGGGCTTAAGATCAAAAAAAAAAAATTATATTCTTTAAATATAATATTATGTACAATAAAATAATGTACCTATAAATTTTGGACATATCTGTGATAACCATTACTCATTAACTTCTCTGTAACTATTCATGCCGATTTCAAGCTGTCCAAGTTAGAGATATTTTATATTGTTCACTTGCAATAATGCAGACTGCTTTTTATTAAAAAAATCTCTTAGGAGAATGATACTGGATTGCACAAAACATTTAACGAATCAATAGTGAGCTAATGGTCTCTTAAACATGACAAATTGTAGATTGGACATGACAATACCTAATGTTAAAAATATTTACCTTATATTTGTTAAGTGGTTGTCGATAAATTATTATAAATAAAAAGTTGTTATATATTTTGTTCATTTCAGCAGGATGTATTTTGTATTAAACGAGATCATATTATAATACAAAATGGTTTCCATTTTTCTTATAGTGAAAATAATATAAATTTAATTTGTATGTTATAACATCCCCCTTTTAGAAATTCTGGCTACGCCACTTACAACAACACCGGTGAAGTATTAGGTAGGTGCATTAAAATATTATGCTGGTGAGGAAATTAATAAGCAATACGGGAATCACGAAGTTGCGTCCCGACAATTTTGACGGGACGATTATTCGGTACGAGTTCGACATCGTCAAATAACTGAACGAAAAGAATATTTTTGGTACTTACAGGTGGCGTCCATTTTCAAAAATGTTAATCGAATTGCAATTTATATCGGAGAACGGTAGTCGGTATAGAAAAGTCGATGGATAAGCGGGAGAGTGGTACACAAACCACGACGTCTGAAACTCTGAACTTCTGAACTTCTGAAGACTACATAGTACATATAGTCTAAAAACCTTGTGAAGAATGAAGATCTGAATTGCAATAAATAGTAAACATGCAACGAACAGTCAGTGGTAGTCGAGCAGTGAACAATTCGATGGATACAATTATTATTATACGTCAAGCAATTCCACATTGATAATAAAGATTTTTGTTATCAATCGGTTTTTAGATCAACACCGTGCGTCGTTTGTTCGTAGATCGCGTCCAAGTATTTCCACGTCAAGTTATCCTCAAGACGGAATATGCGAAATGTTAATAGTTAATACCGTCTTGTTAATATGTTCGTGTTCGCTTTCGTCGTCTGGAAATGCTTGAAAGTTGAAATGCTTTAACAATTGTGCGGCATATTTATCGGCTATTATCGCGTGCGTTATAATGATAAAATTACCGAATAAGTCTTTTCACCGTCTCGTCGAATGCGATAAAGTAAGTCGAGATCCACTACGGTAACAACGCAAAATCTATATCTTAACCTCAAGCAAATTATAAAACATACAAATATTTAATTGTTATTTTTTATCAACAAAATTGGCGATTTTTACATGTGAATTCATAAACTAATAACATTGTTATTTATTACAATTTCTTTAAGTTTTTATGTTTTGTACAACGCTGCCGTGCTACTGTGTTAATGTTTTTTTTATGTCTGTGAAGATAGCTCTTTCCTAGTTAGTTCCTATACCCTGTTCAAAATAAGAAGCGACCTGATTTACGCTTGAAAACCGGTTTTACTAGTGGCCGCCGAATCGCTTCTTAAAATGAACAGACTATATACTACTGATAAAGATAATTGTTGATACCAGTTATATTGACACGTTGAGTGCCTCGTAGTATTTGGCGCGCGTTGCCCGAAAATCCGCGCGAAATCGGTTCCGTAAATACGAAGGTCGACTATGTGCGACATCGGACCCAGGGGCGGACCCAGGGGAGGGGTTTGGGAGGTCAGCTGACCCACAGTTGTTTTCCCAGTTAAATGTGGCCCCTCGAAATGGCAAACTATATAAAAAAATTTTTATTTGAAAAAATTATGTACATTGGTGAATTTAGAGGAGAGGCACGTGCCCCTTGTCAATTTTCTGTCGACAAGTTGTTATGTAACTACGAGTATCATATAAATGAAACATACAGTTGATGAGGATAATACTACCAACTATTAATTATTACTTATTATAATCATTATTGATAGTGTGTATGTATTATTAATTAAAATTAAAATTATACAATTTATATGTGCCCCCCCCCCCCTTCAAAATATCGAAGATCTGCTATTATGATATAGGGGTATATCGTATATACAGCTGTGAAGACTGAGTATTGAAGTAAAATAACGCGTACGAAATCGTGTTTAAGCTATCAACTTATAATGTACGTACCTAAAATTCGATAAACACAAGTATAAAAATATGTTGGATATAGATATTATATAAGATTTTATGAAGTTGACATAGATGAAATTGATATAGAAGTGGAATACCGTTCATTACATCTAGTTTACCAACAAATGGCAAAACTATTGAAACTGGAGTAACTGGACCTTTAAAATTAAATGATGTATTGAAAATTCATGATATCACGAGACATGGTTTCTTCATATCCAAATTTATATACTTTGTATAAAATTTTTTATACACTATACCAGTCAGCAGTGCAACTGCAGAAAGAAGTTTTAGCGTTCTAAAACTTCTCAAAACATGCCTTAGCTCAACTATGACTGAAGACCGGCTATCAAATTTGGCCATATTGAGCATAGAAAGCAACATAGCTCAAACCATTGATTTTGTTAACATAATTAGTACATAATATAGTACATAATTCGCACTAATGAAAAAGCGCAGAAAATGATTGTAATGTTCTAGTTCTTTACTATTATTTTCATGTAGGTATTATTAAACATAAATTTTATTAATGTATTATTTTTGACTTTTCTATTGTATTAGAATTTAGAACCACCTATTCTATATCTCTTGTGAAAATGAAATCAGTCATTGAAAACTAAAATAAAATAAATATACTGCAAATATACGTATACAAATAAAATAATAAATTTGTATAATTTCTTCTAATGATTTAAATATGTCAGGTAAATTTTTTAATTGAATATAAATTTTAATGCAACAAATAAAAATAAAAATAAATTAAATATAGCTATTAAAGCTTGTAAGTAAATTTTACAATTTACTTAAAAATATGTGATATAGTTATATTGAACGTTGGTATCAAAATGTGATGTAAATAACTAATAAGGTAAATCGCGAGCCCAGAGTGACTTTGTAATACCTAACTATATAGGTAGTTGGTTGAAGTTTCTACACAGTTGCCTCTCGTAAGTAAGGCAGACCCACAGTTCTAAAATCCTGGGTACGCCACTGATCGGACCCCAGAGGCCCAGTGCCGGCGCTAGGGGAGGACAAATGGAATATTTGTCCAGGGCCCCGCGCTTGTTAAAGGGCCCCGTGATTTTTAATTATCATCATAATACGAATACCGTGGTCTACCGTCGTATATTGCATTATTCTGCCTGCAGCGGTCGCGTACTTAGATATTAAACAATTTAATATTTTATTCAAACATTTTGATGAATTAATTTATTTTTAATTGATGATTTTATGTAGTTGTTAAAATAAATGTAAATTAATAAAATAACCAGCCCCTATGAATTTATTAGCCTACGATTTTCCACTCAAAGGTTTAACTGAAACTCACGCTACGCCACTAATTCTGTGCTGAGCGATGTTTCATCAGGAGGAATCGCACTCGAATGTGTTGTCTCCATTTACACATATAGGTAAGGTAAAGTGGGGTAAGTGTGACGCAAAAATGAAAAGTTAATTTTGAATTTGACAGTAATTTTTTTTTTTTTTAACTTAAAGTTGTTATTGTTCCATAATGTAACAGCTCTAGATATACATAATTGGAATTTATAGTCAACAAAGTTATATTATCACTCACCTAAGAATAATTTTTTTTTTTTTAATTTTAAAACGTCACACTTGCCCCCTTTCATGGGGCAAGTGCAAAATCGGATTGTTTTTGCTATTAGTATTACATAAAATTATATATGGGGCAAGTGAATAACAAAGATAAAAATAAGCTTTAATTTGATTTTTGTTTCATTAAAATATCTTGATTCATTAAGAATTGACAGAGCATTATTTAAATTTAATTATTTACCTATATTATATATAAGAACAGTACTTTTTTTAAAATCCTGATTTAAAAAAAGCTAAAGTTTCACTACTCTCTGAGAACCTAAAGTCTATTACCTATGACCAGGGCCCCGCAATACCTAGCGCCGGCACTGCCCAGAGCAATACCTACCGTGGTTTTTTTCAAAATACCATAGATATATATTATTAAACTAGATAGCCGAATACTATAGTATCTATAGCCATGGTATAGACTATGCATACAAATAGGAGGCCTGGTCGCCGGTACCGCGAAAAAATAACCCCGGAAATTTAGACCCCGATAATAATACTTTATTACCAAATTATTATATTATTGAAACTGAAATTGACAAATTGTATTGTATCTATTCCACATTTATGGTGAGTATTTACTATTTGTTATTAATATATTATTGACATTGAATTACAAATTTATACTTTATTATATTTATACTTACAAATAATTTTTATTATAGGGTTATTTTTTCGCGGGGTTATTTTTTCGGGGTTCTTTTTTTCAGGGTTATTTTTTCCGGGTTTATTTTTTAGGCAAATCCTGGTCGCCATATGCAGTTTGGGCACTGCTTACAAAATACCATAGATATATATATTATTAAAAAGCTCCCAATTATTCAAGTAATAGGTACATGTACATGTACATTGCATACATAATGTGGGTAAAATAATTATTTGCTTAGTTTTATGTTGTTTTATAACTTTATTGATGTATTATATTTATTGTAAAAATTACATACCTACCTAAAAAAAAATAACTTGCAAAAATACATTTATAGTAAAAATATGATTGTAAATAAAATAAAATGTACAAATATTTACATTAGTTTGTTTATTTAAAAAACTAAAGCATGTTATGATATAATTCATTTTTATTCATTAATCCTTCATAAGTAACATTGTGATTCAATGTTCAATGGGTTTAAAATATTTATCATTTAACATTTAATCAACACTATGTTAAATAAATATAAGTGCCCCTTTCATAACTTATTTTTGTGGTGTCTACATAACTATCAACTTATTTACCCCCTCCCCCCAGCCATAATGTATGTACACTACTGTTTAAAAATTAAAATTGTTTAGGTATATTATCATTATTTGGACATATTATTGTTATAATTAAAATTATACCTTAACACTACTGTGCAGTGATAGCCTGACACACAAAAGGCCCATGGGTGAGTATTTTTAAGGGGCCCTATCATGAAATACAAAATTTAATTGACATTTTGGTGAAAAAAGACCACGCCTTTTTTCCTTTAAAAATATATTTATTCAAATTCTGATTTAATAGGTATAGCCTAAAAACAATATATTCAAATTCCATATTGTTTGTACTACTGTTAAAGAGTGTCCTGTGGCTATACATACTACTATTCTTCAAATAAGAATCTCCTTTTTAACTCAAATTATTTAGCATATTATGATGTTCTTGTAAACGTAGATGTGTCTAAATGTACATTAACTTTTTTACTTTATTGAAAGTAAAAAAAGAGGATTCCTATTTTAAAAACTGAAGTTTGTATTGTAACAACATCGTTTTTAAATGGTATAAAAAATCTCAAGTATTCGAAAATCTTTAAGAGAATTTAGAAACTCAAAAATCAGAATTTGAAAATTATATATGTACAATTTAAGTAAAGAATATGCCGAGCATACTTAAAAGATC